CCCACCACTCATCCTCCTACTCTGTACACTCACCCCTTAATTCAGTGGCTCTCAAACTTTTTTAACCTCAACTAAGAGTAAAAATACATTTTACATCATGACTTAGTACACACATGTACCATAAGTCTCATAAAACAATACTTATCCTGACTAAATGCGATACGCGTATTTTTTTATCCTATTATATGAGCTCTCTACAAAACTTTATTATTTTGTTAAGGATAATTAAAACAAGCACCTTCCAGATCATCTGGTTGAGTACCTAGAACACAGTCATACAGAATTCAAGTCTGTGTATATAACCACAATGGCATACCACCTTAAATCAATTCATGAGAAGTGAATAATGGCAGAGTTAATACTACAATTGATTCCATCCAACCAAGAAAATATGATGCTCTGTATTTCCAAACGTCTCTAACGTGTGTGAACAGAGAAATGTGGTGACAGAACCGAGTCTTCCCATGGTAGTAGTAGTATTGGCAAGCCAAACAAAAAAAAACTTGTCCCATACCATATTCATACTGTAATTTGTAAAATACAGCATATGTCACATTAATGTTAGGGAACTTTAATTTTATTAGTTTTGTAGCTTTATGTTTTGGTGGTGTTATGAGCTACAAACAACAAGGAATTCAGTTTTATGTTTATACATCTAGAAGATGAAAATAAAAAGAATTTCTAGCAACAAGACCAAGGTGGTTGCAGTTCCCTGAACACATCTTGCACTTAGAATCATTAAACTGTTCTTTATCGAATCCTAATTTTTTCTAGAAACTGCCATCTTGAGATGACCATTACTTGCTTCTTCTCTCAGCTTCCTTCTTAAAATGTTGAGGGTCACATCTATGAAACCTTGATGCACCACCTGTTTGAAAAATCAAAGCCTACAGAAATGCCTAAATAATATCTTCTGTATTGTTGAAAGATTCCAGAGATATGTAGAATATATCCATATTCACAAATCTGAACACATTGCCTTTTTCACTTTTGAAGCAACGGTTTGTTTTACTTACATGTTGAGAGGCTATGCTGTCAAATCATGTAGTCATTAGGCATACGAGACTATTTAAATTAATAAAATTAAAAATTCAGTTATTCAGTCACACTAGCCACATTTCAAGTACTCAATAGTGACATGTGACTAGTGGCTAAAATACTTCCATCACAGAAAGTTTTACTGGACTGTGTTGCTCTAAATCTTCTCTTTGAGTAAGCTTTGAGTAAGAATGAACAAATTAGTCTTGGAAAAAGTACAGCTAGAATGCTCCTTAAAAGCACGGATGGCAAGACTTTGTCCCACTTACTTTGGACATGTTATCAGGAGGGACCAGTCCCTGGAGATGGAGAAGGATATTATGCTTGGTAAAGGGTCAGTGAAAAAGAGGAAGACCCTCAGTGAAATGGACTGACACAATGCCTACAACAATGGGCTCAAGTATAACAATTGTGAGGATGGTACAGGACTGGGCAGTGTTTCATTCTGTTGTACGTAGTGTCCTATGAGTTGGAACCAACTTAACAGCACCTAATGACAATCAGAAAGCTTTTCATGATTTCAAATATCAACTCTACTTTGATGATCTCCAAATCTTTCTCCAGTCTTTTCTCACTAACCTGATGGAACATCTGCAGTAACCTACTTGCTATCTCTACTCTACTTTGCCAGATGGAGATGGGAGTGGTGGCTGGAAATGATTATGGCAGTGGCAAGAAAATTAACCAGGTTCAATATAATCAAAGATGAAAGGGATTTTCAGGGAAAAGTTAAGACTGAGTTTGAGGCAAGCAGGAATAGGTACTGTAAAACAGTAGTAGATATTAATCAAAAGACAAAACGCACTCTACCCCACTCACTCATCCCCCCCCCAAAAAAAAAAACGCTTTGCAAGACCTTCAAAAATATCTTTCCAACCACATCCGAAAATATTCACCACTAATAAACTCACCTTTGATATGGAAGAAATACTAAAATCACAGCTTATAATCAGTCCATATAAATTACAGTTTAGCCTGTTTCAAAGCTTATTAATACATCTCCAATTCTTTCAAGACAGGAGTTAAAAAAATAATTACAGTATTGCACTTCAGTCAGGTTTATAACTACATAGTAACACACTATCTTAGATTCCAACTAATCACTTTCAATCTCTCAGTATATTGGTCATTAAAACTTTCTTTATACAGTACTGCTATAAAAAAATATAATAATCATTACTTAATTAGCCACAAATACGTTTTCTGCTTTATAGAGGTACTTAATGTTGGTGTCACTCCAAGAGTTTATTTTTAAAAATGCAAAACTTCGTTTTCTGACTACTTACCTAAAATAAAATCAGATGCAAAAAATAAGACCATGCCCCCCCAAATTCAGATAGAAATCATCAAAAAAAAAAAAAAACAATGAAAATAAAAGCAATTCCAAAATAATGTATGGTATATTAATTTATTCATTGAATAAATATTTATTACCACTATAAACTTCTGGAATGAGATGGACACTAAATCAAACAAACACAAAGCAAGCATTTATTAAGTACCTACCAGGTGGCTAGGCTTTGGACTACAGATACAAAGACAAAAAAAGACATGGTCCCTGCCCTCATGGAGCTCACAGGCTAGCTAAAGCAGACAAACAACCACAGATACAATGGCAAAGCACCAGGGAAGTGTTATGGAAGAGGGATTGGTTCTGCCTGGAGTATGCAGGGCAGGCTTCACAGAGATGGAGACAATGGAGCCGGGCCTTGGATGAGAAGTTCGCCAGATGGAGGGGAAGGGGGGAAGCACATTCCAAGCAGAGGAAACAGCATATGAGCAAGCAGAATCTTGAAAGCACATGCCATGGTGCAGGATGATGAGTGGTCCAGCGCAGCTAGAGCATAAAGGTGTACACAAACTAAAGAGATGAATTAGTTTTTTTGGTTTTGTATTTTAATGAATCATTAACTGTCAGAAAGTAAATCTTCACATTACACTTAATGTAGCTAAACTGTGATTCTGATAACAGGGCAATTTGAAAGTATTCCATTCACTTCATAAATATTTGAGCCCCTTCTCTAGATGCCTAGCAATGCGGTTAAAATAACTACATTTTAAAAGGCAGCTTTAGAATAAATCTTAACTTTCCTCTGTACATTTAAGAAGCAAAATAAGCCTAGAATAATGGTTTCTTTAAGCTGAAATCAGGGAGCTTCACCTCTATACACACACAAGGTCCTACCTTGAGCTCCCTCTGTGTCTATCCCTATTTCTTATCCTTCTTAACATCTTCATAATGATCAACCCAGACTAACCCCACAGGTAAGCAATACAGAGGTAATTTCAGCCTTCCCTACCCATTCTGCCTCTCTAAATAAGGTACATGCTGCCAAGGCCCCTACGGAAACCAATGCAAGGTATTATGACATGAGGAATGAATGCATTCTGACCCCATACCAATTTTTGGAAATTAAACTTCCAATAGTAAAACAAACTATTAGTCCTGGAAACTTTCCTGTAGCTGGGTGAACTTCTCCTGTCCTACTACTCTGAATACTATCTATGTGCTAATGACTTTCCAGCTCAGACCTCTCAACTGGTATAACCAACTGCATACATGACTTTCTGAATAAAGACAGATATGAAATAGAGATCCCCATACACTTTTGAAAAAGTAAAAAGATGAGGAGTAAGAGAGCTTAGGTCAGAAAGTTTCCTTTCCAAATTGTTCATCAGGGTAGCTTAATGCTCAGGAAGGTGGAGCACATGCAAGGAGCAATAGGGAAAGGCAAGGCACTTACACGTGTCAAATACTATGGCTAGATGTTTTTACATAAATTCCCATTTACTCACCACAATATTGCTAAAGGTAAGATTTTATTGCCTTTATTATACAAATGAGAAACTTAAGGCCCTCAGAGGTTAAGAAATTCAACCAAGACTGTATCTGCTAGTAAATGGCAGAGTCAATACATCAAACCATGTCTGGCTGGGTCCAAGGCCCTTTCCACTCCATTACACTGCCTCTGGGTTCCTACAATGAACGCAACACTTCTAAGGTGCAAGCAAGTTTCACGTCATCTCCCAAGAAAAAAAGCCTCCTACTTCTCCCTCCACTATTCTCACATAATGAGTGTGAGACAACTGTGGTGGCAACATACATACGCACATATCCCTGAAATGTAGAGAAAGAAAAATTTGAGATAAAATGGTTAAGATCAGTTGGTTGTGTGGGGGGTGTGCAGTGGGATGCATGTGGGGGATGGGGTGCGTGCAGGGAGAGTGAGGGGCAGTGGGCAGGGGGTGGAGCGGGGAGGAAGTTTTCTTTGTAAAAATATCTGGGCGTTTCAATACTATTAAATTACTATAATTCAGAATGCTATTTGTTTAGATTCCTAAAAACATTAAACTATCAACTAACCAGCTCAATAAAAATTAGAGCTAAAAAAAATATTTTTTCGAGCTAATGGAAAAACCTCCAATCACAGTATTAGGATGAGAATATTATTCCTAAGAGGTATTATCTTCAATATCATCAAAAGTTCAAAATAAAAACTTTCTCAAATCCTGAATCTAAAAATTAATGTGTAATTATAAACTATGTAGAAAGGATACTTGCCAAGTTACAATTTTATCTATTTTGGGGTAAATGGGGACTATTAGGCAATAAATAAATAAATAAAAAGGAATAATTAACCAATAAAGAAATATTTTGCAAATAATAGCCCCAACTGGCCAAAAGTGTGATTGATGTATGTTGGCCTAGAGAGATAGCGACATGTTTTCAATTATGCACAATTTACTTATGCTAATACCTACCTACATAAGTACTGCCAACTATGAGAAACTAAATCAGATTTAAGAATCAAAATACTTTGTGGAGTGAGGGGAGAATATTCAGGCAACCAAAATTCCAGTGACAATCTAAAATAAAAAAATTTGCTCTCATAATTACAATGTAAGGTATTTTTGGAGAACTTCTAAAATAACATGCATATGCTGTAAGTAAATCAACCAACCTTATTTTGATTGAGAGGATCATTCCGCAGTCTCTGTTTGTTCTTCTGTAATTTACTAGGCATCATCTTTCCAGTTCTGAAGTCAAAACTGCTGAGATCAACAGTATTTCCCAGGTACCTTGCCAACTGAGGTTTGCTTCTGAACTTCTTACCACTTGGACTAAAAAAATAAATAAATAAAGATAAGGTTAACCGTATAAAAGACAGTATTTAAGCCTAGGCCTCTTCAATACACCTTTTCTTCATGCCTTCCTTTCTGCCTCCAATTGTTACCAAAGTACAATTTTAGGTAGGTCAATATTTTTAAAGAAATTTTAAAACTTTAAAGAAACTTCTTAAGTTTCCGGTAAGAAGGGATAATGTATCACCTAATATAACGCTCCACTAGGCACATCACTGGACCCCTTAACAGATATAACCACAGATTATTCCACTGGTCACTCGCTCAGCAACCACTGACAGACTCCTAACTCTAACTGTATGCACAGCACAACATGCACACTGCAAACATCTTCAACTTTACATACAACCATTTTTTTCCAAATTGACTTTTGAAATGCTATTTTTTCTGTGAGTATTACACACAGGACACCAGTAGTAATCAAAGCGCACCATGAAAATACCCAGAGCCAACACCCCTTGTTAAACATGTACATATGCATACAAACACTTGGTATCCATATAATATTTGGTCTTATAACATTTACAATAAAAAAAAAATTCTTGAACACTGGCAATATTTAAATGCTCCCAAATATAACTACTGAAACAAGAAAATTAAGGTAAACATTTGTAAATGTGTTTGAACTCATTTTGTACCCAAGTTTTGTTAGCCCAACTCCTACCTTAGAGAAGCATAGCAAGAATAATTTACTACTTATAAGAAATATTGTCAAAGCTGGAAAACTACAAAAGTCTCAAAATTATACAGAGGTTAACTAAACTAGTCCTTCCTAAAAAAAAAACTTCCTATGTAGCAATGATCTGTAAAAAAATTTTTATACAAAGAATATCCCCAAAGTCTTATCTAGGAGAACTTCTTAGCCAAATATGCCGGAATAAACTTAAAATCAGCACTGTATGTCACCTGAAGAGAATTATGAGAATTCTAGAATACCTCTCATTCAAGAAGCCAACATATCGTATATAGAACTTAACGCTGTAAGAACTGACCATAGGAAAGGAAAATAATTGAACAGGAAGGCAAAGGGGAAAAGGCAGGGAAACCAAGTAATAAAATATTCTCCTAGAACAACAAAGAGAACTGCTCTCTGGGTCAAGTCCAAATGATACATCATCCCACCTTGTCACAAAAGCTGTGGTATTCTGCTACCACAGACTGCAAGATACTAAAGATACTATCAACATTCTTTTTCCACAACCACATGACCTAAGTATTCCTGAAACACAATTCAAGGTATACAGTTCAGACTACAGATGAAGATAACAACCAGAACACAACAGAACAGTGCAGAAAACAACCAGAACATACCAGAGCAAACCTCAACTCCAATTCTAACCCAGATCTCCAATTATGCTCTGTATCAGAAAATAAAACAGCATGTAACACTCAATATTATCTATCCAAAACTTAAATCATCTCTGCCCACGACACAGTTCTTCCCCTAAACCTGATCGTCTTCTAGTATTCTCCATCTTTGTTAGTGACATCCTTGTCCACCTGGTATCTATTCATCCAAACTAGAAGACTAGATCATAATCCTTAGTGCTCCCATCCCCCAGCCACACATCGAGTATCAAGTTCTAAACGTTCAGACTCAAGGCTGACAAAATGGTTTCACTACCTACAAAAAAAAAAAAAAAAAAACACAAAAAAAAACCCATTGCTGTCAAATCAACTTCCAACTCATGATGACCCCAATGTGTTACAGAGTAAACACTTCCATAGGGTTTTCTAAGCTGTAATCTTTACGGAAGCAGATCACCAGGCCTTTCTTCCCCAGTGCTGCTGCATAGGTTGGAACCGCCAACCTCAGGTTAGTAGTTGCCCGTAAACCGTTTGTGCCACCCAGGGACCTTTCACCTCCTGAGCAAGGTATCCACATTCCAAACTCAATGAATTTACTCAGTCACCAAAATATGCCATATACCTTTGACTTTCCAGTCATGTCTTTCCATATGGAAGGAATGCTGTTGTCATATGCTGTTGAGTCAGTTCAGACTCATAGTAACCCTACAGAACAGAGTAGAACTGCCCCATAAGGTTTCCTAGGCTGAAATCTCTATGGGAGTAGATCATTGGATCTTTCTTCCCTGGAGCCGCTGGTAGGTTGGAACTGCCAACCTTTCGATTTACAGCCAAGCTTAACCACTGTACCACCAGGGCTCCTATGGAAGAAATAGCATGAGCAATGTCCTGCCTGTTAAAAGTTTGTTAAAGACTCCAAGCCCATCGAAAATGGTACCTCCTCTATGAAGCTTTTTGTCTTTCTCAATCCAATTTAGAAATAATTCCTCTATTCCCTATAATTCTAGTTCATTCCAACAATTCCTATACATTTCCTTAATGATTCAAACAACCTGAAATTACAGTGCCACTTTTAAAGAATCTAATCTTTCCAGTGCAGAACAAGGTAGGCACTTTAACATGTACTATTCAAACTATGCTGTGATTTTAGAGTGGGTGTTTAGAGATGACCTTGGGGTATTACAAACAGAGCTTTAAAACCCTGAAACATAATTTACACAGGCTAGTGGCACAGCGGTTAAGAGCTTCAGCTGCTAACCAAAAAAGGATGGCAGTTCAAATCCACCAGCCGCTCCCTGGAAACCCTATGCAGCAGTTCTACTCTGTCCTAAAGGGTAGCTAGCAGTCAGAAATAACTCAATGGCAATGGGTTTCAATAGGTAGCACTGCACAAAATAACTTTCTGATGGCAAGAAACCTTATCAGTTGAATAAAAGTATGCAGTTTTCATTTGCAGGCACAGTGGAATGATAAATCTTTCACTTATTTAAAAGTTGTATTGTATGGAATTTTTTACAATGAACTAGAAAATACTTCTACGGTTAGTATATTACACTACAAAAGAAATGAAGTATTTCTAACGGACCCAAACGAAAACTTGGTAAAGATTCTTCTGTTATATCATCTAATTAAAACTGATTTTAATTAAGCTAGAATAGTCATATAGTTCTTATAACTGGATATTAAAGTTACTGCTAAACTAATACAGAGAAACCTGTACAGCCAGGAATTCGATGGGACTGCCTAGTTTTTCTGGGTCTCACAAGTTTTCTGCCTTTGGCAGGGTGCAGTCTTACCACTTTTGCATCACTCATTTTAGTGACAATATCTAAGTTTTTCTTTTCTGACAGGTTTCCGCCTTACACAGGTTCTAGCTTTCACAGGTTTTACTGTAGTTCTGATAAACTATTTGATATACCTCAAAAAGTTAAAAAAAAAAAAAATTCCACAAAATGAGTATTTCAAGTAGGTAGCCTTCCAATTATTTAAGATCTCAACAGTGCAATAAAAGCTGAGCTCAAGAGTAGATCTTGTTTAAAAACCAGAACCAAACCTGTTGCTGCCAAGTCGCTTCTGACTCACAGTGACTCTACAGGACAGAGTAGAACTGTCCCGTGGTTTCCAAGGAGCAGCTGGTGGATTCAAACTGCTGACCTTCTGGTTAGCAGCTGTAGCTCTTAACCACTACGCCACCAGGGTTTCCTTCCTAGACCTTGTTAATACAAACTAATTTTCCAGAAGATGAGAATATTATGGTAGCAACTTTAAGCAAAAAGATATGCACTACCATTATTAGCATATGGCTTAGAGCCAACTAGAAAGTCACTTTTGAGAGACCCTAACTGACTAATTTCATAAGCTGCACCCTGCAATAAGCAGCTCCTTACATAAGAGTAGAAATGCCAGTTACCTACTGCAACTGAAAACATACCAGAGCCTCACTATAGCATTCCTCTACAGAAAAAAACTCTTTAGAGGATAAATCAGACACACCTCCTCCAAATCAGAAAATTTAATTAAGTACCTAAGAACTAAGTTAAAAGGCTATACTCATGAAATGTGATTGCATAGTATATGTTCTAGATTAGCAGTTTAACATGGCTTAAAATATTTCCTAAATTTACTGATCTTAAAAATCAAATGGATGGTACTGACAATCTCTAGGTCCCTGGGTGGAGTAAACGGTTTGTGCTCGACTACTATCGAATTCACCCAGCAGCACTGAGGAAGAAATGCCTAGTGATCTGCTTCCATAAAGATTATAGCCAAGAAAACCCTATGGAGCAGTTATACTCTGTTACACATGGGGTTGCCATGAGTCCAAATCAACTCGATGAAAACAGGTTTGGTTTTTGGTTTTGACACTTGCCACTAATAGAAAAAATCAGCAATGAAGGAAATGGGGTAGAAGTCAAATTTTAACTATTAGCATATTCAAAAGAAAGCTCAAATATCACTGGTATTCAGTAATCTCTTATTCATACGGAATCACTACTTCCCGTCACAAAGATGGAATTCCATTAAGCATCCATATTGGATAGCTACAAGTACTTGTCACATACATTGTTCCCTTCAGAGAACAGTAGTAGAAGCATTTTCTTTTTTTTAAATGCTATGGCTTGTGCATGGTGCTATAAGGAAAGTCAACCTAGCTGCTCCAGGGGATTTTAAGACCAGGGACCTTTCTCTGCGTAAGAGGAAAGCAAGCATACAGGGGGGAAAGGCTCAAGGCACTGTTTCAGCAGAATTTCTGCCCATTAGAGACAAACCATTTGCACAATGGCAACCTGATCCTGGAAGTGGCAAACTGGGGAAGTAAATGCTAGAAGAACAAAAAGAACAAATGTCACTTAAACTCTGGTCTTAGAGTGACACAGTCATCGTTCCACTCTCTAAGATGGCTGCTGTGGCTCCCAGTCTCAGAAACACCATGATCTAAAGTGACAAAGCTTTTATTTTAAAATCATCAAGTCATAACTTAGGGAAATTATTTATCTTAACTCTAGTAGACTAGTGAAGAATATTAGTCAATTTCAGTTTACTGTGCCCAAGGGATTATTTCTAATCTCAGTAATGAAATACTAACATTTCATTTTCAACCACAAGAAAAATTCCCTATGAACTATCCTCTAGATAGGCCGGCCCTGAACCACTTATGATCCTTCTTTAAC